AGCCCAGCGGCAAGCTCATAGCAGAATGGAACAAAGCTCTCGAAGGCGCTGCCTCCAAGCCGGAGCTTGTCGACATCTCGCATACCATATCCGCTGTATTATCGACCAAGGACGCGGAGGAAATGGTGCGTGAAGCGCTTATAGTACGACCCCCATCGAAAGCTGACTTCAGCCTAGAAAGCTGTCACGACGGCTGCAGCCCTCACGTCCACTTTGCTGCGCTACCATGTTGCGACCAAGCTTGAGATGATCCTGGATAAGGAGGCGAAGATATCTCACGAAGCGTTTGCATCCCAAATCGAAACACGCCTAGGCTCAGGAGAAGGCGACAACGCGAAAGGGCCGGATATGAAGGTTTGGAACAAGGGCAAAGGCATTCAAGACGTGCGTGACAGAAATCATGTGCAAAATTAATCCACTAATCGACCGTTGCAGGTCGATTTCGGTCTTGTAGACTTCTGCTATCCTCCAGTGGTCATCTCCAAGTCCAGCTCTTCCGGCTACGACATCCGCTTCAGTGCTGTCTCGACGAATGACAATATCGCACACAACGGCGTGCTTTTGGTAGCCTTCGCGCTTCGCTACAGAGGCTACGCAGCGAACGTCGGGCGGACATGGATTGTTGACCCAACTCCCGTGCGCACACCACACCGATTGGCCTTCGACTACATGCTAATCGGTTTGACAGGAGCAAGAAGCACAGTACAACCTGCTTCTGTCTTTGCAAACCGAGCTGCTTTCGAAGATTGGTGACGGCGTCGTCGCGAAGGACGTCTACCAACACGCCTTGGACTACGTACGGGACAAGAGTCCTGATCTTGAAAAGCACTTTGTCAAGAATATCGGCTTCTCAGTACGTTGCGAACGTATGTATGTACTTCATCGGCTAATTTCGAGTAGATGGGCATCGAACTCCGCGACGCCACCTTCCTCTTGTCGAGCAAGAACAACCGTACCATACATTCCAGCATGGTGTTCAATCTAGCATTGGGCTTCACGGACCTCACCGACAAGAACGGCAGAAGTAAGCCACCGCTCATTATCGTGTGGAAGCTCGGCACTAACACACGCAGATACGCATTGCAGTTGGCCGATACAATCAAGGTCGATGGCAGCCGGTCCGTTCTGTTAACCGACGCCTTGAGGTCGGCCAAGGATGTACTTCTCTTCCTTAATGCCGAGGAGGACGAGACGAAGCCGAAGAAGAGCGAGCGGAAACCTCCTGTGCAACCGAAAGCTAATGGCTCCCCCGCAAAGAACAAGACTGTAGCTGGCAAGGTACTCCGGAATCAGCGGCGCGCCAAGCAGGAGGAGGACCAGTCTCATCTCCAGCGCTTCATCGACCATCAGCGTGAATTGCATCAGAAGATCCAGGACGAGGGTTTGGAGAGATACACCGATGGTGCGGGAGGCAAGAAGAATGAAGACAAAACGTGGAAGAAATTCCAGAGCTACAAGGGCGAGCTCGCATTACCGCCAGACGTTGAGCGACTCAGGGTGAGTGCAGTGCCCATCGTTATGCACTCGGCTGACATGTGTTCAGGTCTTCGTCGATCGCAAGGCTCAGACGGTCATCCTCCCCATCAATGGGTTTGCTGTGCCGTTCCACATAAATACCATCAAGAACGTCAGCAAGAACGATGAGGGCGACCTGACCTACCTCCGCATTAACTTCCAGACGCCTGGCCAGCTCGCCGGTAAGAAGGAGGATACGGTAAGCCTACGCCCCACTCCCATGTTCTTCATACTGACGACAACGTTCTCACAGCCCTTTGAGAACCCAGACGCCACATTTGTTCGCTCTGTATCCTTCCGCTCTCCGGACGGTGCGCGGTTCGACAACCTACAGAAGCAGATCACCGACCTGAAGAAGGAGGCGAACAAACGCGAGCAGCAGCGGAAGCAGCTGGCCGACGTCATCGACCAAGACAAGCTGGTCGAGATCAAAGGCCGTCGACCCATTCGCACATCCGACATGTTTGTCCGTCCTGCGCTGGACGGCAAGCGTCTGCCAGGCGACGTCGAAATACACCAGAATGGTGTTCGTTTCGTTTCCGCCATTGGGCAAAGGATTGGTTTGTTACTTCCAATGCGTGAGACGACTATAGGCTGACAATGCGCGCTGGTAGATATTCTTTTCAACAACGTAAAGCACCTCTTCTTCCAACCTTGCGACCACGAGCTGCTCGTCATCATACACTTCCACCTCAAAGCCCCCATTATGGTGGGCAAGAGGAAGGCAACGGTACGTTTACGAGCGAGTCTCTAATCACGAACCATCGTTTCATGCTTCTCAATAGGACATTCAATTCTTCCGCGAAGCTACCGACGTCCAGTTCGATGAGACAGGCAACCGGAAGCGCAAGCATCGATATGGTGACGAGGACGAGATCGAGCAGGAGCAGCAAGAGCGAAAACGTCGTCAGACGCTCAACAAGGAGGTGAAGGGCTTCGCGGAGAAGATTGCCGACGCCGCTGCTGCATCAGTATGCTTTTCCCTTGCCGTTACATGGCTCGTTCTGAGATACCTTTCAGATCGAAGACACTTTCGAGCTGGATATCCCGTTCCGCGAGCTGTCGTTCGAGGGTGTTCCCTTCCGGTCAGGCGTGCGGTTGCAGCCGACAACAGAATGTCTAGTCCATTTGACGGACCCACCATTTCTCGTTGTCACGCTGTCCGAAATCGAAATCGCATCACTAGAGCGAGTACAATACGGCTTGAAGCAGTTCGATCTCGTGTTTATCTTCCACGACTACACGAAAACACCGCTTCACATCAACTCAATATCCACGTCTCAAATAGATGACGTGAAGAACTGGCTAGAGTAAGTGTTTTCATGCCCCTTCACCGACCTTGCTGACCCTGTTCGCAGCTCCGTGGACATCCCCATGAGCGAGGGCCCCGTGAACTTAAACTGGGGTCAGATCATGAAGCACATCAACGAGGACCCACACGAGTTCTTCCTTCAGGGCGGCTGGGTGTTCCTCGGTGGCCCGGAGGGCGCGCAGGCAGATGGCTCGTCGGGCGAGGACGACACCGAGTCTGAGTTCGAAGAGGAGTCTGCGTTCGAGGAGAGCGACAGCGCGAGTGCGAGCGATTTCAGCGAAGATGCAAGCGCGAGCGAGGCGAGCGGGTCCTTCAGTGGGAGCGACGTCAGCGATGAGGGTGATGACTGGGACGAGCTTGAGCGGAAGGCGGCGAAGTGTGAGTGGCTCAGCGTCTTACTCAGCTTCAGACGATCTCACATGGTTTGCAGCCGACAAGAAGCGATTGGAGCAAGCGGCAGAGGACTCAGACGACGACAAGCCGAAGAAAAAGAAGGTCAACGGTACGGCAAAGAAGCCTGTTCCTAACGGAAAGTCAAAGGGCAGGCGCTGACGGAAGGCGGCGCGGTCCGACTTCGTCAGTTTGTTCCTCCCTATTTTATCTAGCTGTGACATTGCTATCTGGCATCTGTATACTATATATCTCTCGGGCATGCTGTCGGAAACCCTGCATCCAGCTTCTGATATGAATGCTTTGAATCTGCCTGCGCGTGACTATGTGGGCGGGAGTGCGACTCGACCGCCTCTCCCTGGGTCTTTTTCAACTGCCAAGGCTATCATGACCCCTTCACAGTCGTGCTACTGTTGTCTGGAAGTCGTGCAACTTCTTTCTCCATGGTTGCTACTCGTGGCGGTGCAGATGAAACCGTGGACTGCACGACGTCGGACGGCTGGGTCTGCGACTCGCGCCATAGCATCGCACCAGTGATGGCTGCTCCCGGACCTGCAAAAGGCAAAGCGAAGATATACCAGCCAATGTAGCCCAGCAGCTGCCGCGAGTCCGCTGCAAAGGACAGGGTTGCCAATACTGTTGACCCCGCTCCCAGCCAAGCCGTCCACTTCAACGCATCCAGCGCCTGCTCCTCCACCGACGTGCCAAACGAAGGCAGCACCGCGCCAATCACTGCGCCCACATCTCCAAGCACGGGCGTCGCCATCGCCAGATGCGACGACGACGAGAGCATGAAAACCACCAGCAGTGCGGCGCGCACGACCTCGTACCCCGACTCCGGCGCCTGACGCGCGATGAAGTGCGCGTAGTGCGCGCCTGCAGTCGCGAGGCCCGCGAACTGCCACACGGCCGTCACTCCCGGATCGTTCAGCGCGAGCATGGAGCCTGTGAGCACGACGGAGCCGATGAGGAAGCCGAAGAGAGCGGCCTCTGCGTGTGCCTGCGTGAGGGCGGCTGGCCGCTCCGGGCGTTTCCGGGCGAGGAAGAGAAGCGCGAAAGCAGCTGGGGCAAGTGGCAGGAGTAAGGCGTGTGAGAAGAGGGCGGCGACAGTGGGACGGGCGCGATAGAATGGGACGTGTGGTCGGGTGGACTCGAGAATGGGGAAGAGGACGAGAGGGGCGGCGACGGCAGAATAGAAGTAGGTCAGCGCGGGACGGTCGATGCCATCCACGAGACGGGTTGTAGCACAGACTACGCGCGTTAATTGTGCAGTGAATATTGTGTCCGTTGATGCGCCCTGCGCGGGACATTGGTCGACGAGTGCCCAGAAGAGAGTGCGCAGGTGTGGGAAGGCTTGCTGCCCACTCCATGCTATAGTTGCCACCAGGAGAGCAGCAAGCAAGGCATCTGTGTGTAGTGTTTTAGATACCAACGCAGCAAAGGCACAGAAAAAGCCTACCTCTGAATCCCGACATTGTAGTTTTAGTCAAGACAGAAACGGAATTTGCCGAAAGTTCAACATGTCAAGTGCAGTCAATCGAGGAGGGCTGGGTAGCGTTTCTGGCAGCAATGGCGTGATACTTAGGTGTCTCGCAGCTTGCTCGACGGTGAGTAGGTTGACTACAATTGTGTATGTATGTGAGGCGTCGCGGCCTTCTCAATGAGAGCTTCGCACTGTATGATTGCAAAACATAGATAGAACCGCCAGTAGCCAGTCTGGCTGCTTTGTCCCGCGGTCGACGAGCAGTCAAGAACACCAAAAAATGTATGGCGATCGACATATAGGCCTTGCCAAGGATCGAACCTGGGTTACGAGAATCACGTGATATGACGTAATCAACTCATCAGAATCTCGGGTGATAACCACTACACTACAAAGCCATGTAGGGCGTTCTTCGCCAAGTAACTATACGGGCTACAATGTGCCTCATGAGTAGTACATAGTGTGTACCCTCTTCTGAATGTCTAACTCGACCAGTGGAGCACAAAAGCGTACATGAGTTCTACATATTGTCATATCTACAGTACTAATACAAAATTGCTGCCTGGAAGAAACGTTCGCGACGTAGCACAAAGTACACTGCCCGCTTATGCGGCATCTCGAATTCCTGGATGAGGGGGTCAGAATGTCGACTTTCCACTAGTACTGCACAAGGAAACGTACCCTGTTGACCTCTTGAGGAAGGTACGCGATTAGACGCGGGATGATAGGAAGGTCATAGCGCGGCTCGCCCACGACAACCTCCGTGCGGGGGTCGCGGAGGAAGCACATGTGCTTCATGGAGGTCATGACCGCGGTGACTGCGCAGGCGTTAGCACGCAGACAGAAGACAGGTCCGAGATGCACTCACAGCGATGGCGCCCTCGGAATTTTTCCTCCCCGATGAGGAGATGCGTGCCCTGATCATAGTCGCCCAGGCCGCCCACGAATGAGTTCATGTGGTCCTCCTTGACCCAAGACATCTCCCCATACCCCGCATGCTCGCCATTCCACGACACCAAAAAGCCCATGATATGCGGATCCGCCAGCCGCTCGGCGAGATACGTGCGGTGCTTCTCGTCCGGCCCGCGCTCGCGCCACCCAACATTAACGCGATCCGAGTTCTGCCACTTCTTGTACACCTCAAAGTGCTCCGGGTTGCTCGCGTCGATGTGCGTGAACGTGAGCTGCTCGCCGAGCGAGAAGATGAAGCGCGAGTAGATGACCTTGCCCGGTGCGGGCTTGGGCGGGCGCAGCGGGTGCGTCGTGCAGACGTTCTCCCCGCGCGTGAAGGACGTGAAGCGCGGGAAGGGCGTCATCGATAGCGATGGGTGGGGTATCGGGTCGCGCAGCCAATGCCGGCTGAGCGGGGCGCCCGCGCCCTGCCACAGCGCGGCGCGGATGAGCAGCAGGTCGCGCGGGCCCTGGCCGTCTGGCGGCGAGAACGCGAGCCCGGTGTGAGTGAGGTACGCGAGCAGCTCCTCGCCGTTCTCGAGCGACGCGTCGTCGAGCGCGATCGGGATCACGTCATCCTCGTACCGGCGGATGCAGATCGCGTACAGCGCGGCCCAGAGGTCGTCGCGGGCGACGGTGGCGCGCGCGGGGGCCCGGAGGAGAAGCACCGGCGCGTGCTCCGCGCGATCGGCGTTCACGATCCCGTGCGGGCTCGTGCGGAGGGTGCGCTCCTGCGCCTCGAAGACGACGGTGGGCGCGGACGCGCCGGCGAGCGAGATCGCGACCGACTTGTCGTCCGCGACGACGTGGACGGGGGTGTTGTCCGGGAGGAGAAAGTCCTGCTCGGGGGGCGCGACGAAGGTCTCGGGGCGGAAGCCCGCGTGCATCGAGTACTGCTCCTTGGACATAGTGGGCGCAGGAGGCAAGGAGCGTTGGGCAGGCGAATATGGAAGGGGTGCTTCTTCCGTGCCATCGGTCCGCTGTCCGAAAGGCCTGGACAATCAGATAAGATATCGGCCGCGCATAAGTATGAGATGGGGAAGACGGTTGGGTCAACATGTCATTTCGCTGGCGAGCCAGCTCAGCGAGCGCGAATTTGCATACGCGGGAGCCATGGAGACAAACCGGGAGTATCCTGTCGCGAAAGACGGAAGCTATATTGAACATCGCCAATTCCTAACTGCACATCGCGCGTTCAACTGTGATCCTGCAAGTCCACAACATAGACGCGCCTGTGCGCGTGCGAGAGCGCCGCGTTCACTGACACCCGACCCTCCTTGTTCATGCTCGCCCCGCACGCCTCGTGGATGTGTCCGAAGACATGCAGCCGACAGCTTGGCAGGGTCTCCATTCGTCGCGCAAGAACCGCGCAACCAGCGTCTACGCCTCGGCGTGTCTTGTCATGGACGCAGTACGGGGGAGTGTGCGTGAGGAGGATCTCGGTGTCTGCAGGTATGCGATCGTAGATCTCTGCGAATATGGCTCAGTGGATGCACGAGGCGAAAGAATAGCCGTACCTTGCGCCTCGTGCGCGTTCTTGTATTGGAACGCACCAATGGCATATCGGGCAGCAGCCTAAAGGCAAATGGATGATGAGGGTGCGGAACGCATACGGCGTAGCGAACGTACCGGTGAGCCATACAGCTTCCACGCTCGGCCAGAGGGCACGGTGATAGTGAGCGACTCGTGCTCAAGGTAGTGTATGCCTTTGCTCTTGAGCTCCGCGCTGCACATGCGCTGGCGTATATCTTGCAAGATATGGTATCCTGAGCGGTCAGGTGAGCTTCGACGTCGGCGCGAAGGGAGTGCAGACACACCTGCTCCTCCAACACTCGCTGATCAGCCAGAGTCAGGTTCTTGTCGAGGCAGAGCTGCTCGTCGAGTAAGCCCCTGGAAATGATTTGCTGCACCCTTACGTCGTGATTCCCTGCAATAATACTGCAAGTCCGTGTCAATGCTCTTCACGTTACGGAAACAACCTTTATTGCCTACCATTTCGCGGGATGGGCAGACTCGCGAGCCAGTCAAGGGTGAGCTGGAGTTGGGATGGGTACCCGTAGCTACTGAGGTCACCCGCATGCAGGAGGACGTCGCCGGGGGGAATGCTATGGTACTTGCGCGAGTGCGTGTCGGAGATGCAGACAAGCGGGTGTAGCCTGGCGTTTTTGGCGGCAGGGACGAGGGGTCTGCGGGATCGAAGTGATAAATGTGCGCTGGCGGCGAGGAGGCATTGTACACTTCAAGGGTAGCGCTAGTAAGCGCCCGACGCCGTCATGGTCGGCGTCAAGAGCGGCGTGGGAATGTATGGCACTGTTGTTGGTCTGTCAACAAACATCTTGTCTGCACTTACTCTTCCTCCTTCATGCATGTCATGACCCTCGAGCACCAACCGTAGAGGGGCTTTTCTCGTCTTCGGCCTCGTGCAAAGCGCTCCCTGATCTGCAACTACGACCCATGGAAATGCGCATCAGACTTGTCCTTCATGCTCAAGCTGCTCGTGTCCCAGTTCGTAATCATCGCCAGGCACCTTTGTCCAGCGGTAGGGCAAAGAAGGATCCAGAGAATATCCGGTGCTTGCAGGTGCATGCAGGTTCGTCACGACGGTGCGCTTCCCTGTCCTATGCGCTGATGAGCATGCGCTCCTGTTATCAAATCTGATTAGATATGGCGTGATAAGATAATTCCCGACTGAGGAGGTCCGCTCGGATTCCGCTCCTCCCGGCTCATCAGGCGTTCTCTCCGAGCCGTTTGTGCGATTAGGCGGGCAAACGGCGTGCCGGCTGGGCGCTGGCATGCGGACGACAGCCCTTCTCGAGCTGCCTGCGCTGCCGAGCCACTGACTGTAACACTGGTTCAGGCCGATCGGCGATCTGTCATGCGATCTCTCCACCCTCACCTCTCTTCGTCAACGCGCTGCCCCCATTATATAGTAGTCAGTCACCCGCGCAAATGCCCTCGCCCGTTCCCCTCCGCGCCGCCCGCTCTTCCTCCTCCCTCGCCACCATTGGGTCCGCCGCCTCCCGCCCGCCCGCGCCATCAAGCATGGCACCAGATCCCGAACCCGCCGCGCAGGCGTACTTCCACAAGGTCGCCCACCTCAAGGGCGTCTACGGCATCGCGCTCAACCGCCCCAAATCCAGAAACGCGATTTCCGTCCAGCTTCTCAAGGTGCGCCGCGCCCCCGCTGCTTATCACACCGCCCCGAGCTGACGCCACCGGCGCAGGACCTCGAGTGCGCGCTAGAGCAGGCCTCCGCCGACCCTTCGTACGCCTCGCACCCCTTGCGCCTTGCCCTACCTAACCACTCACTCAAAGCATTCAATGCCTCATCTTCCACTCCTCCACCCCAGGTTGCTTCTGCTCCGGCGCAGACCTCATCGAGCGCCGCCAGATGACCGACGCGGACGTGCACCGCTTCCTCGCCGACCTCCGCCGCGTCTTCAGCCGCATCGACCACCTCGCCTTTCCCTCCATCTGCGCCATCGACGGCCCCGCGCTCGGCGGCGGCCTCGAGCTCGCCCTCGCGTGCGATTTCCGCATCGCAGGTCAGTCCACCCTGTGCGAGCACCACGGGTGTCTGAACGCGATGCACAGCACGCAATGTGACCAAAATAAGCTTTCCTGAGACCCGTGTATGTACATTTATGGCCGCTCTGCGCCCAATATGACTCAATTTTGTAGCTGGGCATTATCCCTGGCGGTGGTGGCACGCAGCGAGCACCGCGACTTATTGGCATGACGAAGGCGAAAGAGCTCATCTTCACCGGACGGGAGCTCACCGCCGCAGATGCGCAGGAGCTCGGTGCGCGCGACTATTTCCTGTATTCGCCCATGCTAACTCCTTGAAGGCCTCGTGGACTACGTCGCCGACCACTCGCAGTCAGCATACGACCGCGCCCTCTTGCTCGCCGCAGAGATATCTAAAAGTGGTGCGTCTGAGGCTTATGAGACTTCGTCCATTTCTCATATCCTCCTTACACCCCATGGCCTCATTCATTTCCAACTCCTTCGTTTCCTCAAAACATCCGACTTGACGACCCATCCCCACCGCCGACGCCATCCTCGCCCACTTCCCACTTCCCACCCACCAACCCCATCCCCGTCCCTCCCAAAATACTAACCCCCACCCCCAACAGCCCCCCTCGCCCTCCGCGCCGCCAAGGCCGCCATCTCGCGCTCCCTCGAGTTCTCGCTCGACGACGCGCTCGACTACGAGCGCTCATGCTACGAGCCGCTGCTGAAGACGCAGGACCGGACGGAGGCGCTCGACGCGTTTAGGGAGAAGCGCGCGCCGGTGTTTATTGGGAAGTAGGGGGTTCGTTGTGGTGGGATGTTGCGCGCGATGGGCCGTTGCGCGCCATGGGCCGTTGCGCGCGATGCGACGCTGCGCTGCCATCGAGCCACGTCTCCCGCGAGTCACGAGCCATGTTGTTTTCGGGTCGTGCTG